CTAAAAAAGGATTCTATATACCCAGTATCTATAATTTTCACTCTACATTCCTCACTTCTCCTATTGATAGTTTTTAATCTTAAAAACTTAAGCCCACTTCTCTAAATGATAGTTTTTAATCTTAATCTTGCATTTCAATATCTTCATAGCTTCCATTTCCCTGTCCGAGGGTTTGATACTGATGTCGTAGCAGTAAAATCTGAACAGCACTTACCCTTTCTCTTATGAATGCAACTAATCTATTTAAAATACAGGGTCCTATGGTTAAAAGTAAAAGCAGAATCACAAGAGGGCCTGCAAGGGAGGATATCAGAGTAGTCATCCAAGGGGGTCTATTAAACCAACTTTCAAACCAATTCTGTTGTGCTTCTCTGTCCTTCTGTCTCTGATCTAGTCTCTCTCTGAGTTTACTCATAGAGTCTTTAATCACACCTGAATGGTCTACATAAAAACAGCATTCTTCTTTCAAAGCAGCACACAGTCCCCCTTCTCTAAGAAACAGCAAGTCTAATCCTCTTCTATTCTGTAAAACAACCTCAGAGAGGGAAGTCAATGATTCCTCTAACTTTGATACTGACTGTTCTAGGGCCCTCAGATCTACATCAATAGCTGCTCTCAGTTCATGAAAATAGTGTGGGGTCTGAACTAATGCAGCAGTTCCTGTGCCCACACCTGCAGCCACTCCTAGCCCCAATATGACAGCTAGGGTTAAGGAAATGGGCTCTCTACGGAAGCGTCTAGGGTATCCAAACTCGTGGTCAAGAGTATCTGCAGGGTGATAATAGACTCGAGGAACTAGCTGAACAAGTATACAATAGTCTTTGGTCTCATCAAAAACAGAGGTGGAGATGCATGGAGTTAATCCAGAACTACAAGCCCACCATTTATCAATTTCAGGCACTAAAAATCTGTTGACAGAGGTCTTTGGACTCTTAAGAGTCTCATTGCATAGATGTGTATAAGCAGCGGGAGGGGTTCCCAAGCAAACCCCTTGACCTGAAACTTCAGTAAGGGTAAGTCTATTTTTACTATTCCATACACAGGCATCATGACTAGTGGTGTTATTAAAGGTCCCAGTTGTTGCGATGCCTTCATAATAAGGAGGCCCTGAAGAGAGGCAAAGCCAGCAGGACTTAGTCATATTGGGTTGGGACCCATTTAGTATGGTAAAAGCACCTTGGATCAGACTTAACAGCCTCTGTCCAGTGCTTGGGAGAGAAGGAGTAGAGGTCAAAGGAGTACCCAGAGGGTACTCAGTATGGTGTTTGAGTTCTGAAGGTCTTAAAGGGGTCGCAGGGGCAACCGCAAGGGGTTTCTGTTCTGGTAACACTCTGTTAGGGCCTATAGGCTGAGCAGGTGGACTCTCTATCTTCAACTGAATGGTGAAAGCAGCACCCAAGTCGAGCTTCATCATTCTATCTGGAAAATACCATCTAAGGCCCCATGTTCTCCCTTTTAACCACTGTACTGTATCCCCGGTCCGTCCCTGGACAGTGAAAGTTATATTTAAGGGTATGCAGGTGGACCTTGAATTGCACAGGTTCTCTGTAGTCCACTTAAAACATTCTGTTGGAGAGACATAATTTTTACGTACTACAATCCAGTCCCATGAGGAGCTGGGGTTCCAGTAAGCATCTCCTGTTGTTTCGCAGCCCCAAGCAGAACAATATAAGTTCCCTATGTCTCCACAACGGTGGGCTGTTGTTCGATCCCGACCATCCCTGGGACAGACATAAAAATCTAATTTCCCTAGCTCACATCTGCGTTCCGGGTCTCCGCACCCAAATTTGCCTCCTGGGCAAATTCTCCGCCCTGCATCCAGGGGCAACTTCTGAGGATCTGAGGTAGGGATATCCCAGGTGTCTAATCCAGCTGCTAATTGGCAGAAATCGGGAGTGAGAGTGGGCCACCAGGTGTACGGTGGGGCTACCCTAGAGGCAGACCACACTACCTCTCCAGTCATTGAGGTGACCTGCCAAGTCAGTTTTTGGGGAGTGTGTGGATTATTCCCCATCATCTGTGGGGCTAGGCGTAGGCGCAACTTAAGAGGATTACCAGTCCGCTCCAAAGTCCATTCATCTTGATGAGAGTTCGGAGGTGCTCTTTTCACGTGCGAGGCGTGGATCCACGCAGCGATGCCGTCTACCTTCACTGCTGTGGGGGTTGTCAGCAGGACCAAGTACGGGCCTTTCCACCGTGGCTCAAGGTTGCCCGTCCGATGTCTCCTTACTAGGACAGTGTCTCCGACCTCGAACTGGTGTGGTACTGGATCTTCTTTAGGAGCATAGGAGTTCTTTATGGTTCCCCAGATTTCCTTTTTCACAGTCTCTAAGGCTTTCAGTCGGGCTAGAATAGGAAAAGGGGGAATATAACCATCATCAGGGCGAGTTGTACTCTCAAGGGTCTGATAAATGGGAGGTGGAGAACCGTATAAAATCTCAAAGGGAGTAAGTCCCAGGACTCCGGGCGTGTTCCTGACTCGGAACAGGGCAAGTGGGAGCAAGGCTGTCCAATCACCCCCGCCGGTCTCTATAGTCAATTTAGTTAAGGTCTCCTTTAGGGTTCTATTCATCCTCTCTACCTGTCCTGAACTCTGGGGTCTATATGAACAATGTAATTTCCAATCGAACCCCAATAGTTTGGCCAGTCCCTGACTTACTTGCGCGATGAAAGCAGGCCCATTGTCTGAGCCAATCACCCTTGGTACCCCAAACCTGGGTAGGATTTCTTCCAATATCTTCTTAGCCACCACAGTAGCCGTCTCCTTCTTGGTTGGGAATGCCTCGACCCATCCGGAAAAAGTATCTATAAATACTAAGAGATATTTGTTACCATACCTGGTAGGTTTTACTTCAGTGAAATCGACCTCCCAGTAAGAACCAGGTCGATCTCCTCGAAGTCTAGTTCCTTTTACCTCCTGATGGTGGCTGGCATTCGTGAAAGCACAAGCCTTGCACTCTCGCACTAGCTTGTGTGCTAGTTTCTTCAACCCTGGAATCTTATACTGAGACCGGGCCACTATTTCCATCATCTTTTCGGGCCCCAAGTGGGTCCACTGATGGATCCCAGATAGGTACTGTAGGCTTTCTTCTTCAGACAGGACCGGCTTGGTCCCTGGTTCCTCAGTGGGATTGGGAGTCTTTGATTGGGTTCTGATGGTCAAAATCATGGGTCCCTGGGCAGCTTTTTTTGCTTCCAGGTCCGCCATTTGGTTTCCTTTTGCAATATAGTCTGTCCCTTTTTGGTGGCCAGAACAATGAACTATTGCTACCTTCTTTGGAAGGTGAATTGCCTCCAAGAGGCTCAAAATCTCTTCTTTGTTTCTAATTTCTTTTCCTGCTGAAGTTAATAGCCCTCTCCGTCGGTAGATGGCGCCATGTACATGAGCGGTAGCAAATGCATACCTGCTATCAGTGAAAATATTCACCCCTTGTCCTTCTGCCATCTTCAAGGCCTGGGTCAAGGCTACCAGTTCAGCTTTTTGTGCTGAAGTCCCTTCAGGTAGGGCCGAGGCCCACACAGTCCTTTTCCCATCCACCACCGCTGCTCCCGCCCTTCGTTTACCCTCAATCACGAAGCTGCTCCCATCAGTAAACCAGGTCTTCACCCCTGGCCAGGGCTTGTCAGTCAGGTCTGGTCTGTTGGACGTTTCTTCAGCCAGTATTTCTTCACACTGGTGAATCACGGAGCTGTCAGCCTCGGGCAGCAGGGTGGCAGGGTTCAGAACAGCCGGCGGGGCAAAGGTTATACGTTCGGTGAGAAGGAGGCTCTGGTAGTGAGTCATTCTGGCATTAGTCATCCAGCAATCGGGAGGCTGTCTGACAATGCTTTCCAGAGCATGAGGGGCCACTATTGATAATTTCTGTCCCAAAGTCAGTTTATCAGCATCTTTCACTAGTAGAGCTGTAGCTGCTATGGCCCGCAGACAGACAAGCCATCCACTTGCTACCGGGTCTAGCTTCTTTGAGAGATACGCCACTGGACGTTTCCATGGACCCAAGGTTTGAGTCAAAACTCCTCTAGCCACCCCCTTCCTCTCATCAACATAGAGAGTGAAAGGCTTAGTTAGATCTGGTAAAGCCAAAGCAGGGGCTTCTAATAAAGCCTTTTTCAAAGCCTCAAAGGCTTTCTGATGTTCGATTGTCCAGGTAAACTCCCCTTGCTCCTTAGTCAGGGGGTATAAAGGTGCCGCCAAGGTGGCGAACCCTGGGATCCACAGCCTGCAGAACCCGGCGGTCCCAAGAAACTCTCTTACCTGACGAGGGGTAGTTGGGGTTGGGATCTGCATAACTGTCTGCTTTCTGGCCTCAGTCAGCCAGCGTTGTCCATCTCTCAAGGTGTAACCCAAATAAGTCACTTCAGTCTTACATAGCTGGGCCTTCTTCATAGATGCCCGATACCCCAACTTACCCAACTCAGCCAGGAGACGTTCTGTTCCTTTCTCACAATCTTGGGGGTCCTTAGCAGCCAATAAAAGGTCATCTACGTATTGTAACAGAGTCACTTGAGGATTATTAGCCCTGAAAGGGGCCAAGTCCCGGTGTAGTGCCTCATCAAATAAAGTGGGAGAGTTCTTGAATCCCTGGGGAAGTCTCGTCCAGGTCAGCTGTCCTGCTTTACCGTTCTCTGGGTCTCTCCACTCAAAGGCAAACAGGGGCTGACTCTGGGAATGAAGTCTCAAACAAAAGAAAGCATCTTTAAGGTCCAGAACTGAATACCAAGTTCTGTCCGGGGGCAGAGAGCTGAGCAAATTGTAGGGGTTGGGTACCGTAGGGTGGATATCTAGTACCCGTTTGTTAACTTCTCGGAGATCTTGAACCGGCCGGTAATCTCCAGTGCCTGGTTTCTTTACTGGCAACAGAGGTGTATTCCAGGGAGATTTGCAGGGAACTAAAATCCCCTGTTGTAATAGTCTTTCAATGTGGGGACGTATCCCCATTCTGGCTTCCTTGCTCATGGGGTATTGCCTGACCCCAATTGGAGAAGCACCAGCTTTGAACTCAATGACTATCGGGGGTACATTCTTGGCCATCCCCATTCCCCCAGTCTCTGCCCAGGCCTCAGTAAACAGGGACCAGGGTCCCATTTCCAATTCTGATGAAGGATGTCCCTGAGTGTCAGACTGAAACAGTCTATATTCATCTTCTGTTTTCAGGGAGAGTGTTAACACTGGGGATTTGATAGTGTCCCATGTCACCTTTGGCCCCTGGGGGGTGAAACTTATTTGTGCCTTTAACTTAGTTAAAAGGTCCCTACCCAGCAAAGGGGTAGGACACTCAGGTATCACTAGGAAGAAGTGAGACACCTGTCCTTTTCCCAGGTCTACTGTTCTCGTGGTGGTCCACGAATATGAGTTCTGTCCAGTGGCTCCAATAACTATGGTTTGCTTACTTCTCAACTTCCCCAGGGGTTTCTTGAGCACTGAGAATTCTGCTCCCGTGTCGACAAGAAAGTCCATGGGGGTCCCCTCCACTTTCAGGGTTACCCTAGGCTCGGGGAGGGGGGCCAAGCCCTGACCCCCCTAGTCTTCATTGCTACCTAGGGCCAGAGCCTTAAGTCCCTTCTTGGCGGGACACTCTCTGGCCCAATGTCCTCTCTCCTTGCAATAGGCACATTGGTCTCTGTCCAGTGCTTGGCTGGCTCTTCTGGGTCTCCTTGGCTCCTGCCTCCGATACTCGCCCAAGTTCCCTGTCTGCCTAACTCCTCTTCCCTGTCTTCTTCCCTCATCTATAACTGCGGCCAAAATCTTAGTCAAATTCTTTTCCTGCCTTCTCTGTCTCTCATCTTTCTCCTTACTCCTTTCTCTTTTCTCTCTTTCTGCTTTTTCTTCCTGAGTTTCCCTCTTATGATAGATCTTCTCTGCTTCCTTAACCACATCTCTGATTGTGAGGTCTTGTAATCCCTCAAGACGCTGTAACTTCTTTCTAATATCTGCAGCAGCCTGCCCAATAAAAGCCATAATGACAGACATCCTCTGTCCCTCCGAGGTGGGGTCAAAAGGAGTATATCTGCGATATGCCTCCATGAGGCGCTCCAAGAAAACAGAGGGGGGCTTCTTCTGGCTCCTGCATAACCTCTCTTACCTTAGCCAAATTGGTGGGGCATCTTGCCGCCCCTCTGAGACCTGACACCAGAGCCCGGCGGTAGATGGACAGCCTTTCCCTACCTGCAGCTGTGTTGTGGTCCCATTGGGGCCGAGTGAGGGGAACAGCCTCATCAATCTCTGCTGGAGTTAGATTCTGCAAAAGTTGTCCCGCAGCGTTCTGGATGTTTCTCCGGGCCTCCAGAAGAACTCTCTCTTTCTCTTCGGCTGTGAAGAGAGTCTGGAGGAGCTGATTGCAATCATCCCAGGTGGGCTGGTGCGAGTACATTATAGACTCCACCAGTCCAATCAGGGATGTAGGATTCTCTGAAAAAGGGGGATAATTAGCTTTCCAGTTAAACAGATCAGATGAAGAGAAGGGCCAGTATTGTAGGAACTGGACTGCATTCGGCTCGGTAGGTGCCGGACCTATAGCTCGGAGAGGTAGAGAAACAGTAGAGTCGGGTCCTTCCGGACTCAACCCTCTCCGGCTCCGAGTGCCAGTTGCCGGCCCCCCGGCCCCGGCTGCTCCCTGTGGTTCCGGACTCGGTGCCGAGGCCGGGGGAGCCTGTGGTGGTTGGTGATAAGGGGGGGGCAGTGGCGGACTCGGCCACTCAGGTGGCTCCTCTATCTCGGGATAGATCTTAGGCAGAGTTTTAGTTTCCGAGTCCGGTTTTGGTTTGGGTTTGGGCGTTTTAGGCCCGGAACTGCAGAGAGCCAGGGCTCGGGAGCCTGGCTGTCTCTTAACCCATGGTCTCACCCACGGAGGGGGATTCTGGATCAGGTTCTGCCAAACCACGATGTATGGCTGTTGATCGGGATGTGACCCTGGTCCTTCCTGAAATATAGTAGCTTTTACTGCAGAAATAGTAGTCTCGTCAAAAGTCCCCTCAGGTGGCCATCCCACATCAAGTTTTGGCCACTCTGAGGCACAGAAAGTCTGCCAACGTCCCTTCCTGATGTTTACCGATAACTCATTGCCTCTGTCCTTCACCTCTGTCCAGTGGTCTAAAGTCAGGCTTAAGGGAGTCACTACAGTCTGTCCCATAACTGTCAACAAGAAACACAAAACACAGACAAAACAACTACACTAACCGTCTCAACCAAGAAGGCCAACACCAATACAGAAAAACAGATGGCCAGGAGGTCTCTCAAACCTCCTCCAGCAGGCCACCGTGTCCTCTCCGGCCTCCAGACGGGCACCCACCAGGCGTCCCTGGGGTCCCTCCTCACCTGGGACGTCTCCCAGGTTGTGGCAGTGGTAACCCTCCTAGCACGTCTGCTGGTCACCCATTCGCCTCCTGCCGAGACAAAAGGTTTGCTGTCTCTTACGAGACAGAAACAGCTGCCAAGCCAAACCACAGAAGTGCACTTTCCAAAATTCCAAACGAGACGGATCGACACACAAAACGCACAAACAAAACCGCGGTGCCCTTACCTCCCAGTGGGGGTATCAGAGATCAGGGTGGTCACAAATCCCAGGACGAGCCCCCAATGAAGACCTCCGCAAAAGGGGAGACCCTCTCTCAAGTCTCAGAAAGTCGCGACCACCCAGTAATCTACTCGAGACACCATATACCAGAGCAATTGCGAGGTTATTTATTAGGGCTTGACAACTAGCTGCCGGTCAATTCACATGCCCACGCAGGAGCTGAATTGACCCCGACTGCCAGTTTGGAACGGGTTTTAAAG